AAAATTATGTCAGTTATCTCTTCAGACATTGAACTTTTTAGTGGCAGATTCTTCTGACTCATTTAAAGGTGTAATTTGTAAGATTTCTACAGTGAAACAATCACAAAACAATAATGTTTCTATAGGTGTGTTTTCATTACCGGAACTTTAGGGTAAATTTACCGGAACCTCCCGAAATGACCCGGCTGTCTTCGGGCCATTTTCAGGAACTTTATGAGTACCCGCTCAGGGGTAGGTACTCCGAACGGCCCGGTGGAGTAGTTGAGTAGAACCTTTTGTTAGCTCATGCTGATTGGTTGTAACTCATTAGGAAATGACCAATGTTGGGAATAACGCTGTTTAAATATAACCACGTTAATAAAAAAATAATATTTCTTTCAGTAACGAGCAAACTAATTAATTACAGTCTTCTTTTATCAAAAAGTTGTTTCTGTTACTGATAAGGAAATGCATTACTAGATTACCAGCAACAGTAATGCTACTAAAAACACACAATCATGTGAAGCTGGAAAAATTAAAATACTGTGCAAAATTACATTTATTTATGTAATTTAACTAGACTGAGAGACCATTTAAAGGCTCAGGAACCTTTAAAGGTGTTTCTATTTGCTATTTTAAATTTTAGCTGATTGGGGTCTTATTAAATATCACACAATGACCTTTTAATAGTCTAAAGTGTAATGCTCCTATTAGTTGTTCCTCCTGTTAAGTGCTTATTTATTTATTTATTTATTTATTTAAATTATTCAGGTTTATAAAAACATTTGGACATACATTTTATTATGTTCCAGTCATTAGTCATTTGTATTTCACTATCGTAGTAATTTATAGTAAGTTAAGTAAGTTCAATTAACCCATTTTTCCTGCATTCTTGAATGAAAAAGGACTGGGAAATCCTACCTGTCCCAAAATTTACCTTGACGTTCTGCTCAAGCCTCACCTTTTTTGCTTAGCTTTTAACTGATATCTGTTTTTAGCTGCATTTCCTGTTTTATTAACAAACTTATTTATTTATTATTTTCATTTTAGTGGTATTAGACATTTATGTTTTAGGGTTTTACCATCCCTTTAATCAGTTTTAATAGTTATTTTACTATCCATATTAGCTATTATTATTATTATTAATTTATTTATTTTCATTTTACTTATTTTAATCATACCATTGTTTCCTCTGTGGGGCCCTCTGCCTTGGGGTTGGTGGTCGACTGTGGCGGCCTGGGCGCTCCTAGCGGTGTGCTTAGGTGGTGGTGGAGGTTTCTGCCCTCGCTCCCTGGGCTTCCTGGGCTGGTGCCTTGGCTGCTGTCGTTGATCAACTACTGCTGAGGCAGATGGCTCACCCGATGGTGTTTCATTCATTACCTTACCTAATCTGAACTCAGCCTAGTGTTTACTTACGCAGTGTTTTAGGCTTTGTGTGTGTGTGTGTGTGTGTGTGTGTGTGTGTGTGTGTGTGTGTGTGTGCGTGCGTGTGCGTGCATGCGTGCGTGTGTGTGGGTGGGTGGATGCATGTGCCTGGCAAATGGATTGTGGTATTGGGGTGTAACTCACAATTGTTTTTATATTTGTGGGGAAGGGATGGGAATATGGGTTATATTGGGTCATTTTAATCTGTTGAGCACTTTCAGCTGCATTTTCTTTTGTATGAAAAGTGCTATAAAAATTTAGTTAGATTAAGTGATCGATTGATTGATTGATAATGGAAACACAGATAATTAGGTTCTGAGCTAGCTGGGGGGGGGGGGTGTCAGTGTTTCACCTTTCAAAAAAAACAAAAGCAGGACGTGGTTCGTGTTTACTCTCGGTGAGTTAGCAGTGTAACGCAGCAGAGCAGGCGTTTGTAATTCAACGTCAGCAGGCAAAACGCTCCATAGTTGTTTAAAGCAAGTAAACAGGAACAACCCATAATTTACTTCTTGTATCCCTTAGTAATACATCCTTTAGTTTTGCTCTACTATCTGGTGAAGAGGCTAGTGGCTAACGTTGAGCTAACAATGCCAACAGTGAATTCGAAACAAAAAGTTGTCTCTAAAGTTTCTCAAGCTACTTTTTCAATAACCATCAGCTCTATATTACAGTGAAAGTGAATAATTAGTCAATTGTGATGTTTCACTTCCTTTAATGAGTAGTTCAGAACTATACCAGCTAGACGGTAAGCAACAACACTTCATATAGATCCGGAGGCATACTAATGGTAGTATGTGTAGTAAATACTCCTTACCGTTAAATTGCCAAGAGAGCTTCCACCACTGACTCCTCTTTGCTTGCCATCTCGAATCTCTTGGTTCTGATACACAGCTGGCAACAACCAAGAAACTCAAAGAATCGGAGTGAGAGAGTCATACTTTTGCTTAAAAAATTGACTGCAGTAACCCCATTTGACCACAGGAAGCCAGTCTTACAAATTGCACCTTTAAAGCTCCATAGCCGTTATGTAGAAGACAAAGAAATGGCAGCGACCTCAAAAAGAAAGTGTCCCAAAAATCACAATCATAGATTTACACTAAAGGCTTGTCTGTCTCACAATTTTTTTTTTTGTTTTTCAAAAAAAAAAAAAAATAATAATAATAATAATAAAAATAAAACAACTCATGTAATTCTTAACATACCCCCAATATTTTATTATTTTAAACAATGAAACCCTGTGTTGGTTCTGTAATATAATGAACATTTCAGTTTCAGCCAATATTTACAGCAGTTTTAAAAAAATGTTATTCTACTACATCAAGGTTAATTCTTCTTGAAAAGTTCTAGAAAATAGTAATTTAGGCACCAATATCAACACCAACGTCCAATTTTAAGTTTTTACCATAAAAAAAGGGATGATTTCAAGATTTTAGTGTGATACTATCAATCCCCAGACAGGATCTAAGCTTGTCTCAAACTAACTAATCACTGAGACGATGGTGTTGATAGTTCGGTTGATTCAGTGTAAAAAGAAAGAGTTTAACAAAAACATTGAAATCTATATGGAAGCCCTGTGCTGCAGAAATGGAAACTTTCCCTAATCTTATTTTCCTTTGTTGGCTTTTTCTCCATCATTTCACGCCCACAAACATAATCCCCATCACATCCCAAGCTAAGATGGAACCAATAGCTCTATAAATGAATAAAAGACACCCAATTCAATTTCTACACTTGATCAAGCACTGTAATAAAATAGCATTTTTCGCTTGTAGGACACTGAAACCTAATAACATTTCATGCTCATGTACCTTCTCTCAAACCATGTGTGCTTGGGTTTTAACCTCTGGGCGCTCCACTGAAACTGGGGAAAAATGAAGAGTGGGTTTTTGTTTGAAGAAACTCAAGCTGGTGTGCTATGGGTCCCCAAAACACACATTAACTTCAATAAGCAGGTCCTCTTGTATGGCCTTGACGTGGCTTGTAATAGCTTGATTAAAAGTTATTAATCAACATTATTGTACAAAATATCCAGTTGCTCTAGGTGACTTCTGGTTGACATGTTTGGTGCAACAGCCACGGTCATGAAGAGGTAAGCGATAAATGTGCTGCACATTAATCATGCTGTGCCCCAGCAGACTCGACTCTGCAGGGTGTGCGTTACACAAACCCCTTGGTGTCTATTTAGGCTCCTGACCCATTACTGGACTGCTAGCATACAGCAACAGGGTGCAGCAGGTTTGCCACATACAGTCAAAGTCACTAACACATGTACGTGTGGTCCCTTGCTCACATCTTGTTAAAGTTTATGCTTAATTTTAAATGTAAAGTGATATTAGCATGGGCTTTATTTGGTCTGTCATTGATTGGGAGCACTGCACCTCTGCCAGGTCTGCATATAAAGTGTCCTCCATCGGCTCTGTGGAATATACATTCTTTCATCTTGTAGATGAGTTTAGACATCCTGCCTTCTTGGTGGAAATGAGAAAAGTCCCTTGTTGTTACACCACTCTTATTTTACAAGAAGACTGAGTCCAAAGCAACCCAGATGTTGCTCTGCTGATTGGTTATGAAGCAGAAGTGAGAGTTGGATCCATTTTATTTAATTTCTGCCTTCTAATTACTTCCCAGCTATTAGATTGATGTGACGTTTCAGTGATTTTCCCTGACCTTTACCAGACCGATCCTTGCCTCTATTGTTTACTATTAAATGTCTCGTCTTTTTTCACTGATCTGACTCTGAGTCAAGGGGGCTGCAGACCCAGAAACGGCCTGTCCTCTCCAAACCCACTCCTCCGGTGGGATCCCAAGGCAATCCTAGGCCACCCTAGAGATATTACCCCTCCATAATCCATGGTTTGGAAGGACATGCCAAAAACATCTCACCTCCGAAAGGCGTCCCTGCTAGGCCCTGACCACATAGCCAAACCAGGTCAGATGAAACATCCAGATCTCTCAGATGTTCGAGCTCCATGTACATAAAAGCCAGACAGATGAATGTCCCCCCCCAAAAAAATCTACTTATTTTTGTTCATTTGTGAGGGTACCAATGTGTTGCTGCATGTTCAAATACTCAATTACTTAATTGTGCATTTATTTGATGCCTAAAACAAATAAATAAATCAATTATGTGAAGTAGGAAGAATTTTTTGGCCCAGCATCCTAAGTGCTTCAATACTGTAAGTTTTCAGTGACTTGTTTAAAAAACAATTAGCAACAAACCAACAGTATTACAATGGGTGCTTGAAAATGCATGGTGTTCGTTGGACTAATTTCAACATGATCCAAAATAGTTTGAGCATATAGGTGCTGCTCATGTATATGTAAGCCATCCTAAATGTAAGGTCCTGAAAAAACGTGAAAACTAACCTTAAAATTCATCCTTATTGGTAAAGTCATAAGAAACGTTTAGCTGGCATTGATGGAGACTTTAGTAGAATCTCACTTTAATGGAAGCGTATGTGTTACAAAAATAATATTAATATGCAGTAGCAGAAATTATATTTCATTTACATATTACCCAGGCCCGGAGTGGCTAATCGGGAGGGTCTGGAGAATTCCCGGTGGGCCGCACGATGTTTGGGCCGCATGGGCCGGTGCTCTCGTTTTTGTTTTTTATCATTTTTTTTATTTTTTGGTGCCGGTGTTCAGTCATGGCACTGAGGCCGCCGGGCTAATCTCATACGCTCCTCCCGGCTGTCTCTACCTGCAGGCTGAATCTCGTTTTTTTTTTTTTTTCCCCGTATGAGCCTGTGCGCACCACGTGACCACGCAGTTGACAGAAAGATGCAAAGTAGAAAGAGCAAGGGTGGCGCGGAGAAGGCAATAATTAAAAAGAGGAAAGCGCTGGAAACAGATGCAGCTAAATGTGCAAAAATGAGCACCTTTTTTCTCAAACAAGCTTGCGGTCTTTAACTTCAAATGAAGATAAAACGGGTAAGGCAAGTCAAGATGTTAAACTTTACCGGCTGCAAATCACCATTCAAGTTAATTAAGCATCAATAATGAATTATATGGCGTCATGACATAACGTTATGTAATATAATTAACAGTATGATGTGACTGATGCCACCAAACTGTCTTGTAGCCCACAAGATCCAGTAGGCCTAATAAGCACCAGGCAGAAACCCACCATTCCAGAGTGGACATGTACAGGTAGGATTACTTATTGAGTCAGTGAACTGAATATTTTTAAAATTTATATGATGAAAACTATCCTGGCTCTATATGAAAGTGTTCTAAAATGCTAGATGATTCAGCATTGATCAGAAAGCGTGTAAAAAAGGAAAATGAATGCTGAATTGTGACAATTTTCACACAATGTAGTGTCAGAAGAAGAGCCAGGAGCCAGCAGTGAGGGTATTGCTCCTGTTGGGATAGAAGGTGAGCCAACTCATGTGCAAACATCAGTTTCATTATAATAATTGTAATGTCCAAATAATAGTAGTGACCTGTTGTATTTTTATTAGTAAATGCACAAAGCCCACAACAAATCGCTATTAGAATGAAAGTAAAATGAAATAAGCCTGCATATTTTGCCATAGAAAATATTTTAATTGGTTACAAAAAATGTGTTTTCCATATCAAATGTGCTAAAGCTTTACAGATGATTATTTTAATTGTGTGCAGGTGAGTCTAGGGAAACTGGAAAAAGTGTGAAAGGGAGTGCTGAGTCATTTCATTTTAAAGGTTTGAAAATCTCAGAACAGCTGTTTGAACAGCATGTAGATTGTTATATTGTTAGAGAATGTGTTGTAAAGAACAATGTTGGAGATGTGCACTGATGTTCAAATAAACCTACATTGTAAAGCAACTCTTTCTTGCACTGAATTACAAGGCTTTACCGAGTAGTGTGCTTTTGTAGACTATACATATAAAGTTCTAACATGATTTTAATAATAATTCGTTAAGTGGGCCGGTCTGGGGTCTGAAACTCCAGGGCTGAAAATGTGTCCCACTCCGGCCCTGATATTACCTCTGCCAAATTAGTAAGCACTCTTCCTAACTGCTTTTTAATTTTCTTCTTCATCATCGCTTATTCTGTGACTTAGTGACGAGTATAAATAAAAAAACATTTAAGATTTAAACTTCAAATAACACTCCAGCAAAAATGTAACAAAATTAAATTTGAAATGTCAAATTTGAAAAGTAAACTGCATTATAAGAAATGCTTTTTCATTTTCACTGCTTAGTGTGACTCACAATTCAGTTCAATTCAATTCAAAAATACTTTATTAATCCCAGAGGGAAATTGATTGCTGTAGTAGCTGAGAATAACAATAATAATCAAGTCATCAAAGAGTTGTTGTATATTACAATGGCTGTTGGCAGGAAGGATCTCCAGTAGCGGTCAGTGTTGCAGCGAAACTGAAGAAGCCTCTGACTGAAAACACTCTTCCGTTGTCGGACAGTCTTGTGAAGAGAATGCTCAGGGTTGTCCATCATTTTCTTGATTCTCTGGAGAATCCTTCTTTGCATTATCTCCTCCAGCGATTCCGAAACTCTGGCTGAGTCCTTGAAAGGGTATGGAGTTCATCCATCTTGTTGGCCAGTGATCTCACATTGCCCAATATGATCGATGGAAGAGATGGTCTGAATTTCCTCTTTCTCTGTCTCCGTTTTGCTCCCGCTCTGCACCCACGCTTCTTGCATTTTAGCTCATTTGGGATTTGTGGCTTCAGTTGAGGTATTATTTCAGCCTTTCCAATGTTAATCAGCTGCTCCCGATTGTAACCCAGCTTGTTGCCATGGTTACGCATCATAACAAATGCTCAAAAAGTGAAAGAAAATTGCAGTAAAAATCCTCCAAGCTTCACAGCACCAGAAACAGAAAAGGAAAATGTCCAAAAAATACAGTTTTTCTTGAGAAACTAGAAGAAAAAATATCCAAGAAAAGGCAAAACTTACATATAGTCAACAGTGCTACTCCAACATGCAGCCACCCAGAGGAGCACAGTTCCTGAAATCAAAATGAAAAAGCCGCGGTAGTCATCGTCATCTTCCTCCGCTTATCCGGGTCTTGGTCGCAGGGGCAGCATCCCAACTAGGGAGCTCCAGACCGTCCTCTCCCCGGCCACCTCCACCAGCTCCCGGACCAGATTGGAGATGTAACCTCTCCAACGTGTCCTGGGTCGACCCGGGGACCTCCTGCCGGCAGGATATGCCCGAAACACCTCCCCAGGGAGGCGTCCAGGAGGTCTCCTGACCAGATGCCCAAACCACCTCAACTGGCTCCTTTCGATCCGGAGGAGCAGCGGTTCTACTCCGAGTCCCTCCCGAATGTCCGAGCTCCTCACCCTATCTCTAAGACTGAGCCCGGCCACCCTACGGAGGAAACTCATTTCGGCCGCTTCTATCCGCGATCTCGTTCTTTCGGTCATTACCCAAAGCTCATGACCATAGGTGAGGATTGGGACGTAGATCGACCGGTAAATCGAGAGCCTGGCTTTCTGGCTCAGCTCCCTCTTCACCACGACAGATCGGTTCAGCGTCCGCATCACTGCAAATGCTGAACCAATCCGCCTGTCGATCTCCCGATCCCTCCTACCCTCACTCTTGAACAAAACCCCAAGATACTTAAACACCTCCACTTGAGGTAGGACCTCTCTCCCGACCCGGAGTTGGCAAGCCACCCTTTCCCGGTTGAGAACCATGGTCTCAGATTTGGAGGTGCTGATCCTCATCCCAGCCACTTCACACTCAGCCGCAAACCTACCCAGCAAGAGCTTAAGGTCAGAGCTGGATGAAGCTAGGAGGACCACATCATCCGCAAAAAGCAGAGACGAGATTCTCCTGCCACCACACTCGACACACTCCACACCACGGCTGCGCCGTGAAATTTTGTCCATAAATGAAAAAGCAATTCTCAAAACTGCTTTTTAATTTTCTTACTCATCATTGCTTATTCTGTGACTTCATGAAAGTGATAAAGAAAAAAAAAACATTTGAGAACTAATTTTCAAATAACACTTCAGCAAATGTGTAACAAAATTCAATTTGAAAGGTCAAATCTTAAAATGAAAATGCATTAGCAGAAATGCATTTTCATTTTCACTTTACTTGCTTAGTGTGGTTCACAATTAAAATGATATAACAATCCACTAAACTGCTTTTTAACTTTTCTTCTTCTTCACTGCCCATTCTGTGACTTAATGGAAAGGATAAAGAAAGAGGAACTGATTTGTCTTTTTCATGCCCAACCTGCATAAAGTGTTTCATAATTCAAATTGAATTGGCATTCTGAGCGGCGCAGGAGTGTGACGTCAGTGTTCGCCTCGCTCTTCTGAACCCAGTTTGACCTCACCACACTACGCATTTTGTACACTAGCGGGCGGTGTATACACAGACACAAAGGAAAGGCCCTGCGTTGGCTGCATAGATATCATATATAGCTAGATCCCCTAACTGGGAGTCGACAGCGTCCTTACACGGCAGCCATCTTACTTCGGACAGCTAACCGTTCTCTAGCTGAGGGTGAGTGCACGGCTCAAATAGAAATACTTATAACTAGATGAAATATTAACAGATTTACAAACGGTTTGCCTTTTTACAAACCGTATGATACACAGACTTGACGCGGGATACTTACACAAATTGAAATCACCGCTATTACTTTTGAAACGCGACATAATTGTGAACAATGTGTCCCAGCTAAGCTATTTTACGCGTTAGGTTGAGAGAGAGACCACAATCAATATTCTTAAAGGGTTTGTGTGGTTCAACGAAACTAAGAAGTGTACGTAAACTTAATGTTTGTCTAAATGGCTTTCTTGGTGGATGTTTTAGTGTTTATTAGCTATCTAACTTGGCTTAGAGAAGACAAGGCTACCGTGGCTGTGCCGCTTACCTACAATGTTTTGCCTCAGTGGAAGCTGAGAGTAAAATTGCCCTTGTTTTCCAGGCGACTTACTTTGTTTAAAAATGTAAAAAACTTATGCTGAAGTATATTCGAATAGCAGAAATTGCTTTGTTTTTACAGAAATAACGTGAAACCCAACAAGCATGCCTGACTTTTGTGCTGCCTATGGATGCTCTTAATAGATGTCTTCAATCACGACAACATGGGATCACCTTTCATTCGTAAGATTTAACAATATCAAACATTCAACTGTGTTAGGCTGATAAGTCTCTGTCATCTGCTTTGCTTTTGAACTATTATTAGAAAACTGCTTTGCTTTTAACTGCTTTTTAGAAAAAACAGTGATGGCAAAGTTTAAGATCTATCAGCTAACTGTGATTTTAAGAAGTTTAATTGCTTGAATTCAAGATTTCTTGGTTAATCCATCATTGCATGTTTCTGTCTTGACACCTTTTGTTTAACTATTGTTTGTCTTATGTTCATGTTAAAGGAAAAGGCTGTAAACTATTTACAATGATTTATTAAGCTGCCTACATTTTGTCACATGTTTAAGATTTCCCAAAGATGGAGAAAGAAGGAGGCAGTGGGAAGTTGCCCTAAGAAGTGTCTGTGATCTTCCTCAGAGCTGACGCTCAGTGTCGTCACAATCAAAACCTTGTGGAAAGCGTTATGGATCAAGAGAGATCTCTTGTCTCCTTTTACAAAGCCCCAAAGGGAGAGTGGGCAGACCCCATCAGCTGCAAACTGGAAGGTAATGTCTCAGTGTTGGGGAAAAAAATATACACAGTGATTGTTTGGATAATAGCTGTCCCCCCCCCCCCCCCCCCCCTTCTTTTAGGAGATGTTGCTGTTGGAGAAGGGGTGAACAGATTCGTGTTCTCGAAGGCAATTTCTACACTACAGTCTGGTTTCCATTTGAATTTTGGTATGTATTCTGTTGTTATACTGTAAACATGAATGGGATGATGCAATCTAATTACTAGTTTAAAATGTAAGTGATTTTTTTTAAAAACAAACGAGCAACAGTACTAGAAGAGTTAAGAGCCCACCTTGTAACCAAAGGGTTGCAGGTTTGAGCTCTGCTCAGTCTGTCGCAGTTGTGTCCTTGGACAAGACACTTCACCCTTCTTGTCTGTTGGTGGTGGTTGTAGGGACTGGTGGTGCCTGTGTACACCAGCTTTGCTTCTGTAGATGTAGCTCATCACCACCAGAGTGTGAATGGATGTGTGGGGGTGAATGACTGACTGTGTTGTCGAGTCCCTTGGGGGGGCTATGGAACTGCAAAAGGTGCTATATAAACACAGGGCCTTAACCATTTACAAATAAGTGAGAAATGATTGAGTTAAAATAACTGATTTGATTTAAGTAGGCTTGTGGAGCTCTCGGGAGACCGATGTTTTCCACTCTTATCCCCTCCCCGCAGCCTGGTCCATCTCTGTCTGATCGCGGCTTCTGTTTGCTGCGAGTGGACTGACGGCTGGTTCTCCCAGCAGCTCGGCGCATCTGTCTGATCGCGGCTTCTGTGTGCTGTGCGGGCTGACTGCTTGTGGAGATCTGGGATGGAAACCTTTCCACCCGGTTCTCCCCAGCGGCAGCTCTGCGCAGCAGCGCTTGTCTGCTGTGCGGCTGCCGGCTTGTGGAAGCGAGACCTCTGTGTTCCACCCGGTTTTACCCAGCAGTCAGCCCGGCGTATCTCTGACTCAGAAACTGGTGTTGTGCACAGTTAACTCCGGTTGTAGCTAGGTTGCTACGTCCGTTAGCTTAGCTCCCACCTCCGCATTAGCTTTGGGTTAACTTCAGGTTAGCTTGTAGCTAGTTCGACCGGGTGTCGTCAGTCGATCCCAGCCTTACAGCCCCACCCTCAGCTCCACCTCTCTTCCCTTTTGTGGAATTGTCTGGGCTTGACGGAACCTGTGACACGGTCAAAATGGCGGTGGTGGCCACCTCCCATTTTAGCAGAAAAACTTGTTATTGGAGTCTATGGAAACCCATTGTCCATATATTAATGTCGATGATCAGGACCCCTTCTGGATTTACTCGTCTCATTGAATTTATCAGTCGAAGTCCTAATTAACACATAGGAACACTTATTAGGGCATATTCTT